TTTGCCTCGTCGCTGAACCCTTGGGGAAACTGATCTGCTTCCAAAATGACGGCAAGGGGCTGCAACATCCAATATATTGCAGCCACAGCTGGCTCAGTGGTGTAAAAATTATAAGTTGCTAGACAAACTGGAATTTGTGGATAAGAGAGAATGCATAGTAGCAGCTCAAATCAAAATGTGTATAGCCATTTGCAGTCAAAAAAAGAAGATAATGCCTTAAGGTCAGGAGTGAATTGGCCACCTGGGAGTAAAGGCTGCCTCTCCAGAGGGACTTGTGCTGGATTCAGAACACCGAATCATTCTCCTTTACCCATCCTCCTTTGCAAAATTTTATTGTGTTCCATGCGCAGCAGGGTTCTCTGCCTAGATTACATGTGTGAAAGGCAGATCAGAGCGTCTGCCCTTCTTATAAATGCTAGGCCTGTGTCTTGAGTGCAGCACACGTGAAACAGGTGTTCCTTATGAGTTATGACATCACTGCTCATGGTGGACGACTGAGTCAGAGCCTGCTCCTGCCAAAGCATAAAGAAAAGGAACTCTCTCTGCAGCAGAAATCAGCTGCAAGCCAGCTGTCTTGTCTTTTCTGCTATACAAGATTCAAGCGAAAGCTTTAATAAGGAACTGGCCTTATCACTAGCTTGTTCAGGAAAAAGAGCATTTACTTTTAGTTTTTTCCTACTCTATCCGAATAATGTTCAAAATAATTATGTGCAGGTTTATCCTGCAATTCACTCTTTTGACCAAAAAATGGTGTACCACAGGAATCAGTGGCTCTCCAGATGTTGGGGTGATGGGGAAGACATTCAGCAACATCTGGAGGGCCACATGATCCCCATCTCTGGTGTGCAGGCGGAATCCCTGCCTGATACCACTAAGGTCCCACAGGTTCAGAGTGATCCCACAGGAAGTAGGTTTGAGTCCTGACAGGCTGCTAAGTAAATGAGTTACAAGACATTCATAGGTTCCTCTTACCATTTGATAGGCAGGAGGTAAGTCACACTCTGCGTTTAGGGTTTCAGAAGCAAATTAAGCTACAATCCTGCATGCACTTACTTGGGAGAAAGTACAGTGGAAGTCAGGGAGAATACGTGCGTAGAAACGTAAAACAATGGTTTGTTCTTGGGAGATTATATGCAGCCTTAACCTTTGTGTCAAAAGCCCAGTTGCGTTCAATAGGCATTAGCACAGTTCAAGGATACAGCTGAGCAAGGCAAAAGCAGAATAAATGTAAGAAAAAATCTGCAGTGCTTTGGTTTACCTCGTGATCTGCTGGAAAGGAAAGGGAGAGTATATAGGATATTAATGTGCAAACCCCAGGATCTAAACATTTGCTGCTTCTGTCTGACTGCAAACAATTTGGAGAGTTTTCTATCTTCTCTCTTAGTTTATTTGCCTACTTAGGCTGAGAATCATTTGGATATTTGCCTGTTTTATACACAGTGCTTGGGGCATGTCCCTGCAGCAGCATTTGCAGAGGCCTAGTAATGCAAATGTTTAATTACTTTTCTGTTTCCTCCTCCTGTCTAAGCCCAATGTTTATTTTCTTTCCTGCATTCTGCTTGCTTGCTGCTCCTACAATAACTGTGGCAAATACCGTTGCCCAAGCAAAGGTAATTTTTCGAAACCCAGACAGTTTGCACGAGGGGGATGAATACCAGTTTAGATTTTTCTAATGGAAGACAGTGGTGCACACGGAGAACTCGTAAGCATGCCCTGTTATGAAATGATTGTGTAATGCAATTCCCGTTGCCTAGTTAGGTTGCTGGAAGCAACTTTCCTTAATAGCAGTGCTGCTATTTGAATGGCCATGTGATGCAATCCATCCATTCCCTGGTGTCTGTTTTTTGTTGTTGCTTTTTGGCCACTGGGGAAAGAGACTTTGAGGGGAAGACGGTGCTTTAGTCTTTCCAGTTTCTGCTGGCTGCAGAGCTCCAACAAGAACAGGCCCTGCCTACCTTTATAGGTAGTTTTAGAGCTTGCAAGTGTGAGGCCTGCTGAATGTCCCTGTGTCATTCACAACTAGGGTTGCCAACTTCTTTTTTTACGGGGCCCAGCTTCTATGTTTTTAGCAAATCCCCCCCTGCCCCCATCACTGTGAAAAGCTTTTTGCAAATCGTTGCCCTTGAAGTACCAAGTCTGGGCTGAGTTGTTTTCTGGTGGCAGTCCAGAGATTGATAAGCCTCTCTTTATATTCCTTGATGCATTGAGAGGCTGCATGCCAGGAATCTTCTCTCATTTAGCCCCTTGGCTCATCTCCTTTTCTATGCCTTTCCCCCAACATGATGGGCTGCACACCTGGAACCCTGCTATTTTCCATACAGTGGTTCCGCTCCTTCCTCCTGGGCCGTGTCCAGAAAGTGGTGGTGGGGGATGAGTATTCAGACCCCTGGGCTCTCACTTGTGGGGTGCCTCAGGGTTCTGTCCTCTCCCCCATGCTTTTTAATATCTATATGAAGCCGCTGGGAGAGATCATCAGGGGGTTTGGACTGGGTGTTCATCAGTATGCAGATGTCACCCAGCTCTACCTCTCCTTTAAATCAGAACCAGTGAAGGCGGTGAAGGTCCTGTGTGAGTGCCTGGAGGCGGTTGGAGGATGGATGGCGGCTAAAGGATTGAGGCTGAATCCTGACAAGACAGAAGTACTGTTCTTGGGGGACAGGGAGCGGGTTGGTGTGGGGGATTCCCTGGTCTTGAATGGGGTAACTGTGCCCCTGAAGGACCAGGTGCGCAGCCTGGGAGTCATTTTGGACTCACAGCTGTCCATGGAGGCACAGGTTAACTCTGTGTCCAGGGCAGCTGTCTACCAACTCCACCTGGTACGCAGGCTGAGACCCTACCTGCCCGCGGACTGTCTTGCCAGAGTGGTGCATGCTCTAGTTATCTCCCGCTTGGACTACTGCAATGCGCTCTACGTGGGGCTACCTTTGAAGGTGACCCGGAAACTGCAATTAATCCAGAATGCGGCAGCTAGACTGGTGACTGGAAGTGGCCGCCGGGACCACATAACACCGGTTATGAGAGATCTGCATTGGCTCCCAGTACGTTTCCGAGCACGATTCAAAGTGTTGGTGCTGACCTTTAAAGCCCTAAACGGCCTCGGTCCTGTATACCTGAAGGAGCGTCTCCACCCCCATCGTTCAGCCCGGACACTGACATCCAGCGCCGAGGGCCTTCTGGTGGTTCCCTCATTGCGAGAAGTGAGGCTACAGGGAACCAGACAGAGGGCCTTCTCGTAGTGGCGCCCACCCTGTGGAACGCCCTCCCATCAGATGTCAAAGAGATAAATAATTACCTGACATTCAGAAGACATCTTAAGGCAGCCCTGTTCAGGGAAGTTTTTAATATGTAACGCTGTACTGTTTTTAACACTGATTGGGAGCCGCCCAGAGTGGCTGGGGAAACTCAGCCAGATGGGCGGGGTATAAATAATAAATTATTATTATTATTATTATTATTATTATTATTATTATTATTATTATTATTTTCCCTATAGAGCACTATGATACCACTTTCAGCAGTCATGGCTTCCCCTGAAGAATTATGGGAGCTATACTTTGCTAAGGGTGCTAAGAGTTGTTGCGAGGTCTGTAGTTCCCCTCACAGAGATGGTTTAACAGTCAGGCCTCATTCCAGGGAACCCTGGGACAGATTGAGATACAATCTCTGTTTAACAACTTTCAATGAAGGAAAGTCCAGCACCTGACTTTGCTCTTCGTATCACACCCTCAAGTCTTAAGGCTGCCCTGTGTTCCCAGTCCTTGGTCCTTGTGTTGTTGTTCATGACATAATCAGTCCTGGCTTACTGGCCAGCAGATAACAGGCTTTCGTATAAGACTTTGATCAGAACTTTTCTTCTTCTCTTACCAGTGACCTTTGGACTTTATAGAGAGAGAGAGAAATCTCTGAGATTCAAGAGTGCAGACTAGAATTACTAACTTTGCAGTGCAGGTTGTAGATTGCTGACACCCAGCGATGAATCTGCATTCACATAGATTGTATGCCTATGGGAAGGGATTACCTTCCATTTAATTTTAAAAAGTTGTGTTTAGGTACTTAAAAATAACAATTTAAATACTATCAGCAACAAAATCATAGGCCCACACACATGCACCTCCATAACTATGTATCTGCATTTTTGCTTTCCTTTGCAAAATGCACCTCAGCTGTAGGATTTTAGGAACCTTTGGGCTCCCTTAAACTGGATGTATTGACATTTTTAGTCCCTGACAAACAGCTGAACTCCCCAGTCTCTGCAGTAGGCCTTGTCTCAGCACGTGCCACTTTTTGATTTGAATTGTGAAGCACAATGTGGAGCGCACATTTCTTACTTGACATTTTTGTTCTCAGTGCGCAACTAACAGAGAAACACGACAACATCATCCGCGTTTAGACTGTGTACCTATCAGAGAGTTAATATGCACATAGGTCATGCACATGGGTCGTTTTTCCCGAGCTTGCCTTTGCCCATTTATGAGTACTTCTAATTGAACTGTTATCTCAATGGTTTCCCATCTGCACTATTGGGCGGTCCTTGATGGGATGTATTTGTACTGTGTCGGTGTCCACACCACTTGGTTTGCACTTCCTTACCTCCCGGAGTTCTGGGAACCGGAAGTCCACTGTGGGAATATACACAGGTATTTGCAAATTGGTCCATGAGAAGGGGAGGCTGTGAGTCACACTTGCCTCAGGCCTAGATGGGGCTAAGCTGGTCAGGGGCCCCTGCCAGGGGCCAGCTGCTTTTTTGTTTGTGTTTTTAACTTCTAACAAGACTCCTACCCCAGGCCTCAGACAAGCTGTGCCCAGGCCTCAAAAGACTAATGTCTTTACAAGCCCTGGGTAGGCTGTTTTATTTTGTTTTCAGGTCACTTCTAGTACTAGTGCCAGGAATAAAGTAAATTTGCTGGAGCAACCAACTGCTATGATCCAAAGGGAGAAGGTTCAGCACCTTCTCTTTGTGTTTTTATTCTAAGATACCACACCTTATAGGGGTGATTTGAATGATGACCCCACCATGTCTGGGCTGGTCTTCGGTTTGCTTTTGCATTGACTGTTTAATCTTGCAATAATGATTTAAGAATCCAGTTCCATGTTTAAGTGATACAGATCTAAAATTCTGTTTAAACAGACCTAGTTTCTCCCCCACCCCCTGTGCATTCCAGCCCATCTGGCAGAAATACTTGCCGGTTTCCTCTCTTCTGGATCTCAGGGATGCCAAATTCCAATGTACAAGATTGCATTCCTGAGAGACAGCTGCATGAAAACAAGAGAAAATGATCACTGATCACTGGCTTCTGCTTTGAAAATCTCAGCAATGCCTTCCTGCACACAGAAGTAGCCTGACCCTCTGAACTCTTGCTCTAGGGAGTGTGGGGGATGACGAGACACACACACACACACACACATTTAAGCAAAAGGGTTTCTCCACCAAAGCTAGGCAGAAGACCTCCCCTTGTTATGATGACTTTGCTTGGATGAAACGTAAAAATGTAAAGTTTGATTTAGTATGGGGTGGGGAAGATGGTGCCCTCCAGATGCTGTTGGACTCCCAATCCCCATCAGCCCCAGTAAGCATGGTCAGTGGTCAAGAAGGATGAATGTTGTCATCTAGCAACATCTGGAGGGCCACAGATTTCTCATCTTTAAGATGGCACAAAACAGGTCAAATCCATCACGTTTTATTTCATTGCCTATTTAATGCAAATATATATTTTAAGTATTTGGGCCACCCTTATTGAAGGAGGAGGGGATCTATCGCACTGATTCTTCCAGGGTGACCTACCTGTTGCATAATGGTAAGGATGAGATTGTGGAGAATGTGGCAATATTTTTGAGTGACGCCATGAAATTACGTCCTCCATAGGTCCTAAGAATCACCTTTGTAACTCCCGACGTTTGGATAGTCTTACCTCCTACTATGTTTTGTTACTGTGTTCCAATCCATGTATACAAGGTACTCTTACTATGCCAATAAAGGAGATTGATTGATTGATTGATTGATTGATTTAACACTTAGCAAAATCTATTGCAGTTAACCCTCAAATGCTCATTAAATGCCTTTTAATGTCCTATTTCATCAGTCTCCAAAACAATTCAAGATGAATCACAATTGCCACGCCTAGCTGATTCTCTTTTCATGCATACAATGGCAACCTCACAGAGTCTAACGGATTATTCTTTTCAGCATTCTGGAATAGACATTCACTATGTACAGTACCTAAAAGCAGCTAGTTCTGTGCTGTAAAGCGGCAGGTACAGCCCCTTTCAGTTCAGCTAGGCCATAGACTCAAAAGAAAACGGAATGATCAAAATGCAGGTTTATGAAATTATTATTTTCCCCAACAAGGCTACTTCTGCACCACCCCCTGCTTTCCTGACATCTTGGCCTGAAGGCTTGCGGTAAATATGGCTCCATTATTTCAAGGGGTGGTCTACCCTGGAAAAACACCGCCTTATGAACCCAACTGGCCTCTTTCCCCTCTGGATTTCCACATGCACGCTGTCACAGAGTCTCAGTGTCACTGTGAATTCCATTGGCATGAGGCTGACTCCCCTTCGAGGTCACTAATGAAGGGTATCAGAGACGTACAGACTTGACAAGGTCTCCCACTGGGATACATTCCCCCAAGCTTACACTAGATCACCAATCAGAACATTTCACTGCTCCTTATTACCAAGAGCACTGCTACATAATTTTATTTTATATTTTGGTTGCGGGGATACAGCCTAGAAGGGGCAGCTGCACTGCTCAATGCACTTGGGGTGGGGAAGGAACTGGTGTCTGTCTGTCTGTCTGTCTGTCTGTCTGACGGACTATTTCCAAAGATAATTCCTCTAGCATCAAAACTGAAATGTTTAAACTAGGCTCTGTTTGTTCTGGGGCGGCTGGGGGTGAGAGGGAAGCTTAATTTTCCACACCTAATTGTACTTGGAGGAGACGCGCATGGCATTTATGAGTGTCAATGTATTGAGCATGGTGCGTTAGTTTACAGGTGCTATCTCTGTAGCCTGAAGTTCTCCCTCCCTTTGGGTAGCCGAGGGAGGGATTTCAGCTGCTCTTTTCCTTTCTTAGAGATTTTGTAGAGATTTTGCTGAATTTGTTCCAGTTAAGTCTTTCGTTGGGGTTTCCCTTGCATTTGGGCCCCAAAGCTGTTGCACGACTTGAGCACTTGTCAGTAAATGTCTCTGTTTTGATAAAGGGTGCATTGGAAGAGAGGAGAGGTCTCATCTGGACTGTTTGTGGTGGCTCCTAGTAATGTTGTGAACTTCCCGGAGATCTACAGATTAAGGGCGGTAAACTAGGGCTGCCACACGCCTGGAATTTCCTGGACATAGCTTGGATTCGGCCGTTAGAAACAGTGTCTGGGAAAATCTGGAAGTATGGCAACCCATGTCGGAAGTGTTGATTTTGGCGGATTTCCAGAAATTTGCCAAAAAAGGAGCTCTCAACAACTTTTGTGTCCGGATTTTCACTTTTTGAAATATGGCAACCCTAGGTAAACTAAGACAGAGACACGGGTGGCGCTGTGGGTAAAAGCCTCAGCGCCTAGGGCTTGCCGATCGAAAGGTCGGCGGTTCGAATCCCCGCAGCGGGGTGCGCTCCATTGCTCAGTCCCACCGCCTGCCAACCTAGCAGTTCGAAAGCACCCCCGGGTGCAAGTAGATAAATAGGGACCGCTTACTGGCGGGAAGGTAAACGGTGTTTCCGTGTGCTGCGTTGGCTCGCCAGATGCAGCTTTGTCACGCTGGCCACGTGACCCGGAAGTGTCTCCGGACAGCGCTGGCCCCCGGCCTCTTAAGTGAGATGGGCGCACAACCCTAGAGTCTGTCAAGACTGGCCCGTACGGGCAGGGGTACCTTTACCTTTTAGGTAAACTAAATAAATAAAACCACACCAAGGTAAACTCAGTATTTGGATCTGATGAACTACTTATTTACTATGACAATGACAACTACTGTTACTACTGATGGGCTGCCTCACATCTCAGTGGGCCTCCTATAGGCAGTGGTGGTGGTGGTGACGACACTTTGATTCAGGAGCCACCATTTTCATTTCCACAATGTCCACAAAGCAATGCAGAAATTCAAATGGCAACTCCCAGCTGCCTGATGTAGGGAACCCAAAGCAAGTGTCAATGCCAGTGGTCCCTGCGGTCCTTTTGAGCTTCGACAGTTGCCCCTTGGGTGCTTGGTGATCATGCTGGGCCTCAGTTGGCATGGCAACATGGAGTTAAACAGATAGGGCCCAGCTGCCATGGAGCTTATAGTCTCTAAGGTCACATCCACAGCACTACATTTAAAGCACATGGCTTCCCTCAAAGAATCCTGGGGAATGTAGTCTGTTAAGTGTGCTGGGAATTATAGCTCTCTGAGGGGGTAAACTACAATTCCCATGATTCTTTGGGCAGAAGCCCTGCCTGTTAAAGTGATATAAATGTCCTTTAAATGTATGCTGTGGATGTGACATAGTGCACAAACAACACAGGGATGGAGGGGGGCAGACAAGGTAGGGAGAGAAAAATGTGGGCAAATGACTTTACACACACATATGTAAATTTGGTTATGGTTAGGGCCTGTGCAAGACATTTTCTCCCCGAGGGCTACAGATGAGTAAATGGCACAAGAACACACCAAATCAAGATGCATAGTACCGAAAGTTGATAAAGGTATTTTGGAATTTGAGGCAGAAAACCCCACGAGCAACTCTCTCCCCTGACCCTGGAAATAAAATTAAAATAACAATAACTTAACCAGTCATTTGCTGATAATCCGTGACATCCAAAATAAGCTACCTGCGGTGGGTGTCTCGTGCCGCCATGAGTCTTCTCCCCACTCAACTCATGTATGTTCTGTCAAGAAAAGATTTCGGAAACAGTTCACAGCAAACGATATTCCTTCCGATTCCTTTCATGAAGGGAGAGACGGGGTTTGTATGCCGTTCTTTTTAAGCTTCTGTCCCTTAGCTACTTTAAGGAGGGTTCAGGGGGTGGGTGGGTGATTTGATAAAAAGTAAGGAAGAATCGGGGAAGAACGTGTGGATTTCATTACTGGTCCTCCTATCTCCCCACCCCCAGGATTCATGCAACCTAGCCAGGTTCACAAGGGGGGGCAATCCTGGGACATCCAATGTAAGCACTTCTGGGATTAGTGGGGAGGGGAGGGAATGAGAAGCTGTGAAACGGAGAGGCGATACCCACTTTGAAAGCTTCATAGCCTGCCCTGGCCCCTCTCAGAGCATTTGAGGAACCTCAGTCACTCCTATATACATTACTGGAATTTGTCTGGCAGGGTGCATTATGAGGTCGCATTCTGGGCACCGTATTCTCCCTTCAGTCAATTTGCACCACTGAGGTGTCCTCTGGAAGCCTACATCATACAGGCGAAGGTGAAGGGGTTTATTGGCACTAAAATTAGCCGGTGGACTTGAAATTCCAGTGCCAAGACATTCCCTCTCAGTTTATCCTTGTATTTCACTTCCTAGGTCTAGGCTCCTCTGTGACATCACAGCAGCTAACCCAATAGCGGTCTAGAAACTTAGCTTTGTCTGCAAAGCACCACTGGGGACATTAGAGCAGCTTGCTCACTCACTCAGGCCCTTGGGCTGTGAACCTATAATTTAGTTGAAATATACTTGGAGTTGAGAGTGGATTTCATGCTCTTTATTCAGCTCATAGTGGTGAGGAGGAATGGAAGTTCCCCCAGAATGTCTGCTTTATATACATTATTTACACAATGGGCCCCATGTGATTGGCTAATTCCGGTATTCTCCTGTAGGCCAATCAGGTTGCGGATTCACTTCCACCTGGAGCTGGATTGGGTGGCTCCTGTGGACCAATCAGACTGCTGCATTCTGGATCCTTTGTTCTAGGACCAATCAGACTGCTGCATTCTGAATCCTATTGCTCTAGGACCAATCAGACTGCTGCCTTTTGGATCCTATTCAACTCAGTACATAACATTAGTATAGAGTCTAGACTTCCCCCCTGGCTAATTTGAGAAATGTGGCTTTATAATGCACAGTCTTCCATGCTATTATGGTCATCACGCCCTGTGCTATGCACCTAAGTCACAGTTGCCTTTCAGAGTGCAAAAGCTCGACGTCGTTTGCTGTCACTGAAACACACAAAAAGCACCAGCGGATTCCGCAAAAACAAATGGAGTGAAACTTGAGTCATGTAAATTTTTCTCAGCGGTCAGCTCCGCATCTCATGACAAGCATACTTCAAGTGTGCCCTTTTGCTGTATCATCTCAGGGTCCTGCTAAATTGAAGCCTGGGACTCAATAAGCTTGTATCCAAGGCTGAGCAGTTACCTTCCTTCTTAGTGATAAGACATACAACTGTTCATGTCCACCTGTTTAGAAGTCACACTTAATGAGATTTCAGTCCTTGGCTCCGCAACCGCTGTACAGATTGTCCCATGGATCGAATGTACCAACTTTTTACCTTGCAAGCTTATTCTTTTCTACATGCAGCGGTACCTCGGGTTAAGAACTTAATTTGTTCTGGAGATCCGTTCTTAACCTGAAACTGTTCTTAACCTGAAGCACCACTTTAGCTAATGGGGCCTCCTGCTGCTGCCGCGCCGCCGGAGCATGATTTCTGTTCTCATCCTGAAGCAAAGTTCTTAACCCAAGGTACTATTTCTGGGTTAGCGGAGTCTATAACCTGAAGCATCTGTAACCCGAGGTACCACTGTATTGCCAGTCACTGTCAAGTAAAGCAGAGACCACTGAAGAAGAGTTTGGATTTGATATCCCGCCTTTCACTCCCTTTAAGGAGTCTCAAAGCGGCTAACATTCTCCTTTCCCTTCCTCCCCCACAACAAACACTCTGTGAGGTGAGTGGGGCTGAGAGACTTCAAAGAAGTGTGACTGGCCCAAGGTCACCCAGCAGCTGCAGGTGGAGGAGCAGAGACGCGAACCTGGTTCCCCAGATTACGAGGCTACCGCTCTTAACCACTACACCACACTGGCTCTCTGAAACATACAGTCTGAGTACATGCTATACTTTTAAATCAAATTCAGGCCAAAATCCTATCTAGTCCAGCATCTTGACACGAGCATTCAAACTTGCAACTTCCCAACTGCCTGAAGTGGAGGAGTCCAAGAAAATCTGTTTTCTCACTTGATCCTGCTGAATGTATAAACAGATTCCCAACACAGGAGATTGAGCATTTCTACAGATTGGTACCAGAGCTTTATTCTTAGTGCAGACACAAATCAATGGAAAAGTCAATACTTACAAGGATCTGGATATATGAGAGCTGATTTTAATCAGCCAGAGTTGTGACAGCTAATTCAGTTGTGTGCACTACATTGGGAACAGTGGCCTATTTATTAAAAAAAAGCCCGCCTGCCTTACTTTCCTCACGCAGGGCAAAAGCAAACAAAGCACAACAGAATAAAATCAAACAATTTTACGCCAGTCTGGTATACAAGTTGTATACAAAAAATGGCTGGTTTCTGTGATGTGCATGCTTTGGGCAAATGAAACATAGCTCAACTTTCTCTGTACATTTTGTTCTGCTTTCGCCAGTCGTAGAGGGGATTTTGAGGTTACAAAGGTATATTTGTCTTAATCTGACAGAGAAGGTCACATGCAGAATAAACTGGCACAGATCTTAAAGACAACAATCACTTCAACCACACACATTCATGGTTCTAGAAGCATCTTAAAGTTATCTTGATGTATGAACATATTATGCCACCTTATACTGAGACATACTATTGTACCTCAGTCAGAGGTCTTGCCTAGTTTGCTGCTGGAGAGACCATGTATTTTCTGCAAGCAAAGTATGCACTCTGTAATTACCAGATCAACAGCATTTAATTCTGCATGTTTCTTAATTCCTTGCTGTGTACAAACCATGCCTTCAAAGCACATTCAAGGCACATTTTCCTCATCAAAGAATTCTGGGCACTGTAGTTTATTAAGGGTTGCTGCGAATTGTAACTCTAGGAGGGGTAAACTACAATTCCCAGAATTCCTTGAGGGAAAGAATATGCTTTGAATGTGCTTAAAAGGGATAGTGTGTAATTCACAGCCCAGATTATTTTATGTATTAAAATGCCATACAGTACAGTCAAGGACAGTGATTAATTGATAAGGATCATAATCTTTTCCCAAATGCATACCTCCAAAGTTCCAGCCGAACAAACCACTGACCAAGTTGATAAACCTGAGTCAATCCAGGGGCCACCTTCCTCCTCCTTGCCCAACGGATCGGATCTGTCGTGGGGGAATTGATAGCAGAGTCCCCACCTTCCTTCAACAGCTCATCAACAGTGTGGTAACACTTCTACAGGTAGCACCTGCAGAATGCCGATTTGTTAGGGGAAGTGAGGAAGTGGTTTGTGTGTGAGAGAGAAAGGCTTGAAGGTGGGGGTGATATTTTCAAAGGGGGGGTTGTAGCAATTGCTGTGTATGATGATGAAATAGTACCCTCTGATTTTTGTCTTTCTGAATGATGATTCTCACTGCCGTCTCCTCCTGTAACAGGCTGTGTGAGAAAACACCAGTCTGTGCTGGCTTCGAGGCTTGTGAGCCCATGGAGCGTGCATTTGTTTTGGGATGAATGGGAAATTGAACTAGCACTGCTTCCAGATGACCTTTTTATCAAGCATTTGTGCTGATTCGTTTGCCCAAAGTTTGCAGGGAGGTTAGACAGTGTCAGCAATTTATTGAGCATTCATTCTGATTGGTATACAGGGAGGTTAGACATAAAAAAAATAGGAAGCTGCCTTATACGGAGTCATAGAATCAAATCATAGAATCATGGAATTGTAGAGTTGGAAGGGACCCCAAAGATCATCTAGCCCAACCCCCACGCAACCCACCATATGGGGATTGAACCTGCAACCTTAGCATTACCAGCACCATGCTCTAACCAACTGAACTATCCAGGCTGACCATTGGTCCATCTTGCTCATTGTTCTCTACAATGACTGGCAGTGCCTCTCCAGGATCTTCCTTCCCCCCCCCTCAAAATTTTTTATTCGTTTTCCAAAAAATTTAAACAGACATCTTAATTGTACTTGACCCAATCTTAGTAACATTGTTAAGTGACTTCCTCAAATCCCCCTGGCTGAATTTCAGTGTATATCATTGTAACAGTTTTCCAAAACCAATTTTCTCATAAAATTAACTTAATCACTTAACATCTTTCTTTGTTTTCATTTTGACTTTAAACATATTATTCTGTAACATCACATATTTAAATCCTAAGCCTATCTGATATTTGCAAGCTTTTCCAATTAAGTTATCTTAACATATTTAACTAAATAGTCTTTAAATTTCTTCCATTCCTCCTGGTACTCCTCCTCCTTCTGGCTAGCTCCAAAAAGTCCATCATCTTCATTTGCCATTCCTCCACTGTTGGGACTTCTTGTGATTTCCAATTCTTAGCTAACAAAATTCTAGCTGCAGTTGTGGCATGCTCTCCAGGGTCTTTCTTACCCACATTTCCCAGTGAATTTTCCTGTCACTTTCCTTATTGCAAAAGTCCAGTTTTGGGAGGGCGAAGAAGGTTTGTTGCATTAGAGCAACAAACAAAATCAACTGTAATTCCACAAGCTGAGGGTGCTAGCTGAATTCCATCTGAAAGTAGGGGCTCCGTGAAAGCCCCACAAATGTGGCCCATTTGGTTCAATTTCCATTTGTCCTTAAATGAATACAGAGGGGCAAGAATGGAAGTCTCAGGCATGGCTCCCAATCTGGCCCATTTTGGGTTGTCCTTTTTGTGGTGGTTGCCACAAAACTAGCAGGAAGTGGCACTTTGAATTGCAGGCCAAATATGACTCTCAACCCCGGTAATAACTGCAATCTGGCAGCTGTGGCAATTGCTACAG